ACAGTTTTACTAGTGAACTATCCCTACCCACCACCTTTTCTTTCTTTCACACACACACACACACACACACACACACACACACACACTTTCCTTGTTTCCGTGAGTTCTCCATACAGTAGTGGAACACGCCTCGTCTTGGCTGGCAAGCTGGTGGCAATGATGTATGCGTTTTCAGTGAGAGTCAAATCAAAATAGGGTATAATCCCAGTGGGACAGTTCAAAGACAAGTGCTTCATATTGTAGCTCATCCAGTCCCTGTAGAGCTGCTTCATATATGTCTGCAGTCTCTTTTCATTTCTTTTTCATTTCCCATTTGTTGCACTTTTGCTCCACAACCACTACTACGCCATGTCTAATTGTTTCATGTTGTCACGCAGATTATTTTTACAGAATTGATAAATCTCCCAATTCATTTTGACAGCAACGCCCTATGGAATGGTGTGATAATAAGGTGAGTAGGACTGGGAAAATGTCGACGTGCCCTATGCACCTCTCATTTCTTTTCTCTGCCCCACCCACCCACACACACACCCACCCACCCACACACACACCCACACACACACCCACCCACACACCCACCCACACACCCACACACACACCCACACACCCACCCACACACACAGTCAGGCTGTAAATGTCATTGGAAGGAAATGAAGGCAGCTGAGGTTTTATGGTTTCATCTGGTCTGTTATATTTATCTGACCCTCTCAGGTGTTTACTGTCCCTCTCTCGCACATACACATTGAAGGAACACAGGAAGAGGAACAGAGGGCATCCTATTAGGAACATATAGTAAGTCTCTTTTTTTTCAGACAGACATATGGGCTTGGCCCAAATTCTTATTTATGGTAAGATGTTTGGGAAATGCAAAATCAGGAAGATTTTACACATAGTCACACACCTGGAGCTACCCAGTGCTACCTCTTTCTTCTGTTGGCTGCTAAGCAACTGTGTGGGACAATAAAATCACATTATTTATTAAAAATCTATTAAGTGAACAATGGGGTGCCACATGTGCAAAGCTGGAAACCCTTAACCCCTATCAAAATAATAATCTAATGTTTTCATCTTTTGCATGAAAGCAATTTTGAAGACAACCTTTTAGCCAGTACAATCTCACTGAAAGAATTACATACCGGTAGTATCCTTGAAAACATGCTTCAAACTGCCAAAAGGTATGAAGCAGAGCTGTGCTGCTGCAACAATCAAAATGGCTTTAATCTAAGTGAGCAGAAATCAGTTTAATACAGGCTACTAAAAATATTTCTTTACCTGATTTGAAATCCTTCTGCAAGCGCAGAACGACAGTGAGACCTCTAATTTAACTCCCTTAAATGTTGTCAAAGTACTTATCTGACAAATTCCAGTATTACTGTTCACACATTCCAGATATTTTAATGTGATGGAGGCAGTTTTTCCTTGATCTCAGTCAAGGCCGCCTGTGTTATGAATAACACGGAGCGATGAAAAACTGCCTCAAGCACAGCAGTTTGTTGCTATGCACATATAAGAAAGACTGTTACACTGACCTTTAACACTGTAGTGTTGCCAAGAAGGAGTTTGTTTCTGACTGTTTCTGAGTATCTTGATAAAATGCCAAAACCAAAATAAGCATTGTACTTGAACTTCATGTCATTTGTATTCACAAGTATTTTTATGATGCACAAATAGTGTTTAAATAAATTGGAATCTTAAAAAATGCAGCAGAAAAGCTCATAGCCCTGTAGTGCTGACCAAAAAACATATTTATTTTATTCTCCCTGTTCCATTAAAAACACTCCAAAGCTTCTCACTACAGATGTGCGTCCTGCAATCTCTGGGTCAGACAGGCATACACGCACAAACAGGAGTTGAAGGACATCAGAAAAATACACACGCACACACACACGCACACACACACACACACACAAACACTCTCCCCTCAGTGAGCCTCCAAGCCTCGTTCATCTCTTCACTCCTCTATCAGGTCCTCAGGGGGAAGGGAAACCCATGAAATGATTCCTGACATGACGGATCACAGAGCAGCGCTGGTTGAGCCGTCTGATATCAACACTTTTCTGCCTGACTGTGGACAAGTAAGGCAGGAGGATTTGCAATGATTTCCCCTGGCTGTGGCTCCCGCTGTATCTGCTCCACTGACTGAAGTTACTGATGCTAGCCCACTGTGCAAGTTAACCCACAGAAATGTCACATGGAAAACTGGTAACTCTGGTTTTAGAGTTTCATACGTAATTCTTATTTCAGTTTATAGAACCCATTTCTTTGTTTAGAAAATACATAAATACTAGACTTTGATTCTCACAGTTCCTGAAGAGACTTTTTGGAGTCACTAGGTTTTCATCTGGAAGTATACGATGAGATCGCCTAAGGTCTGAAGCATCTGCTCAACTCACATCACTGAACATAAAATCTTAGCCTCTGTTTAGGCTCTGTGGGTGAGCGCTCTCTCAAAACACAAACTTTGACACACAGGGAACAGATCAATAGACAGAATAATAAAAGCAAAAAATATCAAGTTTTATGGTCCCTGATAAAAACCATATTGTTTTTAAATAGAAATATCAAGTATAAAGCATCACTCAAACTTTGCCTTTAGACACTAAGTGCATTTGTAGTGAGTTAATTTATAATTCAACCCAATGACCTAAAGTCAGGTTGGTGGAGGATGCAGAATTCCTGTGATGCAATCAGTTGGCAAAAGGAAAGATTGTTTTAAATCCCTCTCCCTGTCCACAAAGCTAAAGATCACATCTCTGATTAACCATGTTAAGATAAGATAAGATAAGATCAACTTTATTGTCCCCTAAGGGAATTCTGTCTTGGGCATTACCTGCTGGAGGTAGGCAAATGTGTACAGTCAAACGCATCCAACAAAATGACAACATGTCCTCATATAGAAACGACAGAATAGGTCGATAGTTGATGTCTCCAAAACAGCCTATATGAGTGTTTTAATGACTCCAAAAACTAAATATATAAGTGTTCTTTTTAGTTCCCCCATTGCAACACAGGGAGGCCTATGTGGTAGCAGGGTTAACTAGTCGACATGTATACAATCATGGTTTAGGCACACACCCTTGTGATGTAAAGGCTCGTGCAGACTACATGACTTTCAACGTTGGCCGCTGCCGATCGATTGCTGATTTACCCCCGATCACAGCCTGAAGGTCGCCAAGCTCACCAACCGGCTAATCGGGCTTAAAATCGCATAGCGTGAATTAGGCTTAAGGGTTAGGAGCTTTGGAGGCTATAAATGCATTTAATAGTAACATAGTTAGCGCTAACGGTAGCCAACGCTGGCTAGATACCGCTACATAAAAAGGTTATTGCTAGCTAGCTAAGATGCAACATAAAGTGCTAAAAAATAAACACTTGACACTAAACCCCCCCAAAATTAATGCTAACACTAGCTAGCTAACAAAAAATAATGTTGGCCTTTTTTGTTTTTTTTTACCACGGGAACCAAACTCCTTGTCCCCCACCACCTCCTAAATAGGAATTTTGTGCTTATTTATCATGTATACCTGGTGTTTTCCCTCAAATTTCACATGCACTTCGTCACACAGCCGCAAGAGGTTACTCATTAAGTAAAATTTGGTGGTTTTAATCCATTCAACTATTGACGTATGTTGTCTTTTTCTGGGTGAGGACAGAGCGTTTCAGTACATCAGCTCTGGTAGCTCATGTAAATGAGCAAGAGGAAGGAAAACACCTGCTAACTCCACTGCAAACCTTCTTATGCTCAGCAGGTCTTACCCAAACCGCATATTTGATTGCCAAGCCTACCACATAGGATAGCAAGCAACTGCAACAACTGCTATGTTCATAACTTCTTCTTGCTTTATACTTCTGTTCTGTACTTCTGTGTGTATGTAGCCTCTGCTGGTTCTTTTAGTTTTTCCCTCCAGTTATTGAGCTGAACCTTATCATTTATTAAAGGAGTGTATGTTGTAGTACATGGGATTAATTAGTTTGTTTTTTAACACAGTCTCGAATTTGGTATAGAGAATTTTGTAATTTCACTGGTATAGGTATAGACTACAAAATTTCTGGTATTGTGGCATCTCTAGAAGGTTGGATGCCTGTAACACATTTTTCATGTTGTTTTTTGTGGAACTGTAGCTATACGACAGCGCAGTTGTTAATGTTTTTCGGAAGCCCATTCTGCTCCGCACTGGTGTGTGTGTCTGTGTGCGTGCACGATAGGGTGGCACAATATTGGAAAAAACTGATATTGCAATGTTATTCTTGTTTGAGTTAATTTGACTGGCTTGACATCGCACATCCTGCGATTGCACATGGGCACATAACGATGAGGATGCTGAAACGATATATTATGAAGTCTACTTACCCTATAAGTTCTCCACAGTTCTCAGTTCTGTAGGACTGCTCATTAGCGCGCTGAGATTCTCAAAGGTGTGAGCCACAACAATATTATTGAATTTGGTCTTTGGCTTCCTCTTGCTGTTTCGGTTCAACTCATTATTTGGATGTTTCCAAGGAAGTATAATCAAAGCTCTGATTTAACAGATCGTCTCTCTCAGCTCGTCATATATGGCCCTTAAGCAAAAATCAACCAAAGTGCAGATGAAATTTATCAAAACCTATCCAAGTATCAAAAGTTCCCATGACTTCCATCTACGTCTCTATTTGGAGCTGTGGAGTGAAGACAGAGTAGGTAGAAGTACTCTTTCTCATGAAAGACTGGAATTTTTTTCTCTTCTACTCTGAGGATTATGTTGTTAAAGAAATATGAAGTACTTCTTTATCATGCAACCGAGATAGTTAGTGCAATTGTGTTGTTTGTGCAGTTGTGATAGTTTGCAAGTGTGTCTTGCAGTTAACTAACCCTAACTCCTAGTTTCCTGTCACTGCAGAACGTCTTAACAGCAAAGCAGGGACAAAATAGAAAGGACAATGAAAGAAAGACTTCACTGGACATAGAAAAAAAAGAGTCAATGTTGGGTTTAATTTTTTTCTCTGAATAGAAAATATCTTACCTTCAAGGATGACTTCTTTGCCAGTTTTCTTCAGCGCTTGCACCGCCTCATCGTGTGTGGCTTCTCGTAAGTCATAACCATTGACAGACAATATGGCGTCACCAACATAAAGAGCCTCTGTCTGGTCAGCTGCCAGGCCCTTAAAAATCTTGGAGATGAGGATTGGCATCTTGTTCTCCTTTCCACCTGCATGACAAGAAGGGAAAAATGTTGCTGTTTCATCTTTTCCCCCCCAGTACACTAACAACTACTGTGTGTTGTTAAAGAGGTGGTATTATGCTAATTTTCAGGTTCAAAATCTTAATTAGGTGTTGTACCAGAACAGGTTTACATGGTTTAATTTTCAAAAAACACCATATTTTTCATACTGCACATTGCAGCAGCTCCTCTTTTCACCCTGTGTGTTGTACGCTCCACTCTTGAGCTACAGAGTGATGCATCTTACTTGTACAAAATCTTTGTTGGGAGTTGCACATGCGCAGTTCCCAGGTAAGGACTACTAGCCAATCAGAAGCAGAGAAGGGCGGGTCGTAAGAAACAAGGTAGTGTGATCCAAATCAAAGCCACTTCAGACTGAGACCGTAACCTAACAGATGGTATAAGTTATTACCAGTCCACAACCACACAACATCATTGTTCCACATCTAACCATTAGGACTAAACGTTGAACTGTTGCCGGTGTTCTGACGATCTATGCTGCCTTGCCGAAAAATGCTACCATAGCGCAAATAGACTCGACTCTACTCAGCTCTGCTCCATTTTCCATTGCAGATAGTAGCCAGAGATAGTACGTAGCTTGTCGTCATAGCGACGCCACACACAACTGCTGCGACGTAATGTTCAATGCAACACACACACCAGCGATCCACACAGCTTTCTCTTTTTTTAAGTTAAAACGTTTCAACATTCCTCAGAATCTAAAGACAGATAAGCGGTACGAAAACCTTCCAGCTGTGTTTTCCTCTGCCATGTTGCTGCAGCGGTCTGTGTGACGGTGGGAGCAGAGAGCTCTGTGAGCGGGCGGCTGGCCGGCCTCACACGCTCCTTCAGCGGGTTGGCACAGGCTTCCCCCGCAGCCACTCCTCAACTCCGAAAATATTCAAGCACATTTTTGTTCCACCATCACTTCTCGTAAAACTGTCAATATTCGAAATCTACACAGCTGATTTCTCACCTCAAAACTTCTCAGAAGTGGATTTAGTGATGAAATTACATATGAAAACTGTAAAATATAAAACTTTCTGTTGCTGGCCTCGTAATGACGATGCAGTGAATAGAGAATATTCTCTCTTACCAATCAGCAGTCTGTCCTGTTTTCATGTTACATTTTAGTATCCCTCAGCTGGTTTGGAACCTCGACGGAGGTGAGGTGATATGAAAAAAAGTAACTGGAAGCAGGTAAAACATTTCTACAATGGAAACCCAAACAAAGGCGAGTCGAGCCAAAGGGCCTCCGCTCAGACTAGCTTGGTTTGAGGGCATGCCTGAGCCGCTTGGCAAGCTTTATGACGTTTTCATTGTGACGTCACAAGTAAAGGAAGTGAAGGGCTGGACTACAAACAAGCTGTTTTCAAGCGGTTCAGAGCAGAGCTTTCTGTGGGAGATGGGAACTCCGTTTGGGCTTTTTCACTTTGCAAACCTGTTACATGCACAAAAAAGATATATAACTCAATAAAGAAGAGGGAAAAAGCCTAAAAGCATAATACCACCTCTTTAAAGGCTGTGGATTATGGCACTGGGTGCAAATGTCAACTTCACACTAGACTGTAGGGGTTTGCATGTAACGGTGCAGGAGATGCCAGTGAAATATAATATAAAGACTTAGAGTGCAACCAACTTAGCTATACAATATAAGAAAACTCTGAAACAGATAAGTATCTGTAACTCGATGTACAAAAGCATGCATGCCACACATATTTTGATTCCAACCACTGTAATCCTCATATTTGAGACTTCCACTCTTCATGAGAAATATCGTAATTAATGTCAGCTGGCAGTTGAACTCTGCCTACACTCTGGACTAATTTCTCTGGCTGGAGAGAAATTATCTAAAAAGAGGATTACATTTAATTAATTTCAAATACATTTTCCACAGGTTGCTTCCTCTGGGTGATTCCTTGGGATTTAACTCATTCATGTTTCTTAAAAAATCAGGGCTGAGCTGACTTTTACCATGCTGCAATCACTATGCTGTTCAAGTTTGAGAAAGAGGGATTTACCTGCTACTTGACCTCTCTGTGGCATCAGATAGTTTAGTTTATAGTATATATATATATATTTTTTACTGCATGAGTATTAGAGGTGGGGTGATGCCCTGTACTTACTGAGTCTCTGAATCATGATGCACTGATAGGAAGTGAAGATGAGGTGAAGGGGAACCTTCAGCGAAGTCGGTGGTGTTATCATTAATATATGTCATCACATTACCTACCAAAATCATGAACCTGACTGTTTTGAATCTTTAAATATAATAAGAGTATTGGAATTTGGCACAGGGAGATAAAGACAATTTGCAGAATTTCCCATGATAATAAAGTTCTGTACAGTGCAAAGGAAAAGTACATGTCTTGCACTGGACAGTAATCCATACACTTTGAATACTTTACCCAATCTTTAAAGCATCAATATTCTATCTCTGTTCAAGTAATACAGCACACAGTATGCATGCAGCTGTAGGTGGAAGTGGAGCTGTGACTGTCAAACAAGAAGTAAGACATGGTGTTTGCCACAACACCGCTAGCCAATACTATGACCTATATTGCCCTTATTATTCTTAAGTAGAGCCCGACCAATTTATCATTTTGCAGCTATTATCGGCCGATATAAGCTACTTTCAGATATATCTGCATTAGGGCTGGGCGGTATATTGGTATAATGAGGTATACCGATAAAATTTCAAAAGAGATATAAAATTAGTCAATACGGAGTTTATTCCGATATAGTGAGTTAATTAATGTTTCCGTAAAGTCCTGCCAGCGTTTGCTCCTCTTTCTCTCCCTCACCGCACAGCTTCGCCCCTCCCTCTGTGTCTGCAGGCAGCCATCTACTCACAAAGTCTACTCAAAGTCTACTCAACAACATGGAGGGAGACACAGCCACATAGACTTTACTTCGGCGGGCAGTCCATGTATATTAACGGCCGTCCAGGTATATTTGGCGACACATTGTAGCATTTTTCAGAGAAACACAGAGTTATTACGTTACAAGTTTTGACACAGTGGATATTTTACAAGAGCAGACCAGTTAAAGTGACAGTGAACATACCAGTGAGGTGTCATTTGTTAGCTACCACATTGGTTTTGTTTTGAAGCCCATTTAGCAGAAAATACCGATAAGCCTAACAGTACCGGGATATGACTTTTTGGTCCATATTGCCCAGCCCTAATCTGCACTGGCGTTGATAACAGCCGATATATGACTATTGAACAGAGAGTTGGATCCTTCCCTCAGGTCATGAACACAGAACAAAACATCAGCTGACCAGAGTCTACCGGAGCTACGAAGAGTAGCTCCTAGTAGCTCTCACACTCAAGTGTTCCCGGTGAGTTGGTCTTTTGACGCGCCAACTACATGACTTATAATATAATAATAATAATAATAACAACAAAAAAAATCATCACTTCTCGCCTTTGGAAACCAGACTTGCTAATCCTCCCGTTTTTCATCCCCCTCTCCGGGGTCACAGCAGTGTGTTTAATGTTACGGTAGTTGGGTGTTGGAGGCAATGCTGCTGACAGACGTGATTGCAGATTTATTTCTGAAATAGTGTGGTAGTTCTATCGACCGGTCCTCTCATTTCTAATTTATTACTTCGAAATATTTTTTAACATCACGTACAGCAGCTAACGCTGACCGTTGCAAAATTAGCCATGTTTATCAGTGGAGAAGCACTAACATTAATGAGTGGTTAAATTATAGTGTTTAACATATTGTAAATATATCTGCAAGCTGCTTGTCTTTAGTTACATTTAGTGTCAGAAATGATTAAACCAGAGGGGACATCTGAATAATTGAGAGCTGAACAAGAATCTAACACTGCTTCCTGCCTACAAAAGTTATCTAACTTATCTCACCTTTCAAATGTGAAACGTCAGTGTGAAATCTCAAAGCTGCAGGTCCTCGTTGTAGACAGCCATGTAGTATTATAGATTAATTCAAGGGCAGAGTTTCCTCTGTGCCGTTGTATCATAGACAGCATTTTTAAGAGCCAGAATGTGGTTGGGAAATGGCTTCTCATAGCTTTGGATAGAATTAACAGAGTGCAGATGATAAACTAGATGTAGAAATGAGTCATTGTGGAAGATTATATGTAAGGTAATAACTACTGCATGACAAAAAATATATACATAATTATTTGCCTATGTAGGAAAGCCCTGTTTATCATTGTTATGATAACAATGACATGAGAGATGTATATGTATTATTATAATTATTTTTTAGTAGTAGTACTATATTGGTATTTTTATTGTTTCTGTTTCGCTGGCCCCCACAATATTTAATTTAATGTTCATTAGTGGTAGTACTCTATAATTTATAACAAATTATTTGTTTTAAAAATGTTTTCTGTTGTTTTATACATTTGACTCTTATTTAGGCAAGGCAAGGCAAGGCAAGTTTATTTGTATAGCACATTACATAAAACATAAAAGCAACAGGGAAATTAAAAAGAATAATAAAAGTTACAGTGCAGTGTACAATCACAGGCTGAGGGGTTGAGCAAATAATTGAGTTACAATTATTTTGAAAAGAGAATAAACAGAGAAGTACACTTAATCTACTCTCTCTAGCGAGTCTGTACTCGGGTCCATAGCAATCTTTGGGTCCACTGAAACTCCAAAAACCCTCGGACACTACAGAGAAACCAGGACATGTCTGTCCACAGGCCGCTTTGATCCGGTTATACTCTGGACCCACCTGCGCGTTTACAGGTGGACAGAGGTTCCTGCAAATCACTCAGGCGCGAGATTTAAGACCACTTCCTTCACTCTGTTCAATCTCACTCTCATTATCTTTTCACTCAATTACCTACTCATTTCTCACCGTGTAAATATTTAATTAAAAGCAATGGTAAAAAGAAAAGTCTTCATTCTTAATTTAAAAGAATTGACAGTTCTTTTATCTAAATTTTAATATATTTAGCTGCACTTTTGTTCCAAGTACTATTTCTAACAATAAAAAAAGTTTATTTTTATACTGCATTATGTTATAGTATCTTGGTATGGTCTCCACATTATCTTTATGTTATCAGCATATCGGATTTTAAAATCCTCAAATATAGAAACTCATATTGGACTTTAAAATCCCATATCGGTCAGACTCTATTCTTAAGAATAACCAATGGTTTCTGTCTGCATATTCTTGAACTGCCATCGTCTGAAAAAACACCAACAATCCCCACTCAGGGGCTGGAGTTACTGGATTCCCTGTTTTTCTACCTCACTCCTTGTAGGCCAAAGCTAATAGAACATCTCTTTACTATTGTTGAGTTTCAGGCTATTATCTCCTAAATACGTTACCTTGTAGAAAACATTTTTTAAAGCTGAACTCTTATCCAATTCTTTGTAATAAAGAGAGATTGTTTTGTTGGGTTTGTAAGGTGAGCTAAACTATTTGGCTCTGCATGCAGACTGTGTATTTACATTACCGTAGCAGAGTAGTTGCAACGTTACTACTAGCAAATAATACAACTGTGGTTCTGAATGTCAAGTAAAAAGTTCTGCTGTCCTGTGAGGCCAGTGTCCTGCTCACTGCCCCCATCCAAACTTTCCCAGCTGGTTCGAGGATTAAATTTGAATACCTTCCAGTCACAACTTGCTTCTCTAAACTTCAGGTTACCTTTGCCTTAATCTGCACCACCATGTCAACTCTAGTGAATAACATTTCTCAAACCACAGACTTATTGTCTGTATCGCTTGCATGAAGTCTTTAAAACTTAACACTAGACTACTTACTCTACTGGGAAGGATAGCTCCAATTCATTTCAGGTATTTATATAATTTATAGAAGAAGAAGTGAGAACTAATCGTCGTCACCTCTACCAGCCACTTCAAGTGGATCTGTCCATCCATGTAATGTTAGAGGTCAAGCAGGAAATAATAAAAATTAAACCAACAGAAAGAGCAGAGTTCTGAATATAAAATACACATTAAATAGAAAATGCAAAATGTTTTCAGGTAACATATAGGATTTAAAATGAACTGAGATGAGTAAGATGACGCAAAAATGCCCTTTGGAACTTTCTCTCACAGCAATTGAGGGCGAACTGTAGGCCTACAATGGACTGGATAATGTGGATGATCCAGCCCTAGATGAAAATTGCCAGGGACAAATTTTGTTTATAGTCCAACCCTGGTACACAGTAACCCCTTTCCACCTTTATCTGTCCGCATGCTTTTAGGTTTCCTTTTGATCTGAAATACCTCTAACTGAAAAAACATCCCTGACATATTGTAGGAAAAATATCATCAATATGTCTGCCACCCCAACACAAACCTCCCAAATCCTCCCATATTTCTTTCCCATTCCAACTTTCCTCGTCCAACTTTTCATGTCAAATACAAGTTCAGCACCCTCTAGCTGGCAGCCTGTCTCTCAGTTGACAGGAGTGTGGCGGTGGTGGAGGTGGGGTGGAGCCATTACATGACATGTAAATGAATGGTGCTGGTTTATATAACGCTGACATGTACCTAATTAGGTAATTTTGTGCTAACAATGTGTTTGCTATGACAATGCTCCTTTCAAAGAATTCAGTATGATCAGCATTTAACTTCACACACACACATACTTCATCAGGTGAGTTGCATGCAGCACTAATCAACAATGGAGCAAACAACAGAAATTTCTTTTAACAAAAAATGTAGACAATAATGTGGTTACATATTCCTGATGAACATTCACAGCCAGAGAGAATATCTTTTTAATAATAGATTAAAAAGATATTACATAACACCGCACCTGAGCCATGTTAACGGAAGAAAATATTGTCTATTATGCAATCTGAGATGGTCTGTGACTAAAGTTTTGAGGCCTAAAAGCATGGTTTCATAATATTTTCCCTAAAAATCCTAGTGTTTAAACTCACACAAAGTCCTGCCTAAGTGTGACAGAGCACATTGGGACAATTTAAACAATGTCAAAGCTATTATACCCCAATTAATGTTTTCTGTGGTGTGGTTAACCAATTGATCACAGTTGGTTTAACTTCTAAAAAGAAAACACCAACACCAACCTGCCACCTAAGTCGCTCAGAAAAGAAAGTGCTGGACCCAGGTCTGCACACTTCACTCTGACCAGCAGGCCTGTCTAGAGACTTGGAGCCTCACTTCCTAGCCTCTCCTCTTAAATTTAGACAGTGAGAGTAAAGGTTGACTGCCTCCATGCTTCCCTGCAAGCTGGGGTGGGCTCCCTAAAATTAACACTAGTGGAGTACTCCACTCCTAGCCACATAGCTTTCATCTTTGTGCAATGACAACTGCCTGCTGTGGGCTGCTCCTCTCAGCTGTTCAGAATGCGGTGTCAGCTAGCCCACAACATCTTTTGCCCTGTTCTTTCATTAGTTTCTTTTTGACACTTCACTATTTCTTTATTTTTCACTCTTTTCCCCCCCCTTTCTTTTCATCTGACCTATTTGGTTTATACCATGTCCCGTTTCATCTATGGCTTGCTCTTTGTGCCTTTGCCTTTCTCTTTCTATCCCTCTGCTGCACCTTCCTCCCTTTCTTCCTCGCTGCCTTTGAACAACTAGCATCACAACAGTGACAAGCCAGCAGGGTCCCAGCTATGATTTTGTTTTAATAACATGCTGTCTGATTTTCAAAGCCACCCATTTCCACAGAGATGGACATTACATTTATGTCATTAGGGGCTCGCTTTGTTGTTGTTGGTGGTGACAGCCGTGGGGGAACTAAAATTAGCATTTCACCAACAGCAACAATGACGAGCCATCTTTGCGACAACAGTGAGAGTCCACAGTTGTCAATCAAATCGACCCTGCATCAGACAATGGCCAAGTGATAACCTGCCAAAACATGCAGACTGCAGGTGGTGTCAGGAAGTGGAGGCTTTAACTCACATGCATGCAAGTTTAAACACAATGCACATACATATCAGAATGCGGGTCCATTATTCAATATTATTGTTGTTACAATCCAATAATCACCAAGATACTCAAGATAAGTGGCATAGATCACAATGTCACCATCACAACCCCACAAAAAGTCTAGTTTAAACCAGGGAGATTGAACCCTAATGTGTGTGTTCACAGATTAAAGATAAAATAGGTAACTAAATTACAAATGTGATGCCAAGGGTACCACAGAGCAAGCACATAGTGTAAAAGGAGTGAAGAAATGACGTGGGTTTGAATCTCCCTTGCTCAAAGAGCCTACCAAATTTGAGCTAAACAAAACTGGAAAACAATGTTGGTCACCTCCTAGAAATAAAATCAAAATATTGCTCAGACTGCAGCAGTATCACAGCACTATCCATTTTATCTTTTGTATTTACATAGCTTCCCAATGCTCAATCCTCCCAAGTCTTCTTCCCACTGAGATCACTACTGAGATAATAGCCTGTTGCTGCAGGTTGAAGAAACAGGACTAGGAAAAGGCTTTTATCAGCCGCTGCACAGTACACAGCACAGGTATGTAAGCCTGGCTTGTAAGATATGGAGAGGTCACAACCATATTGCATTGAGAGGTAACTGTGCAGCAGCAATATGCATTGGAGCTGCTTATCTTTGCTCATTCAAAGAGAAACTTACTCAGCAAAAAATATATTTTAGGCAACCAAACTAGTTTATATTGCGTAGAAACAGTCATTGATTTACTCTTGTTTCTGTGACTCCACTTTCACCTGTATAGTACTTAATTAGTACTCATAGCCATACCTTTCAGAGACAGGATAATTCTTTTTTTATTGCAGGTGTAAGCACCTTTCAGATATATGGCTTAAAATAGAGGTATTAGATGAGTTTTAGAACATAAAACAATTGCATACAGTTGCTAAAAGTTGATGTGTTTTGGGTTGTCTTGGTTTAATAACATGTTGGGAAGTAGGTGTTTCTCATTTTAACAGTATATCCTCTGGCTTTGTTAAGTCTAAGGGAACCATAACGAACTCAACAGAAAAATATACAGAACAAAATTGAGGTTTGGTAATTATAATTTAATACACGTTTGGTTGCTGTTTGGAGTCTTCTAAAGACCTTCTGTTGCTAATTTACTTGTCTAAGTTCACTTTCATCTGTTTTTGATGAAAGAAGCATAAGATTTAGTCATGTATCACGGCAACTTTAAAGCAAAAAGAGTACTACGCAGCATAAACAACGTCCCTTTTCCTGCTTTTCTTGGTCTCTTTAACGTTAGTTTGTTTAAGTTTCGCCATTTTGCAAGGTTGTGTGCGAAGCCACACGGTTACGTACTAAACGTGAGCTTAACGTTAAGTTACACGACAGAAGCTAATTGGCATCTCCGTTGACTCTGAGACACTGAAATGGTTCCCTGCTGAGGTGAGGCACGGCTTGAGATAATCACAGCTGTCATTTATTTTTAAAAATGTGCAAAAGCCCTAAACGTTTCAAGTGTGTGTTAAAATACGGATGAGAACTGGTCTTGACAAAACGTCCTAGACAAGTGGAATTTATCGCACATTGGAGGTGTTTAACGGTCAGTTTGAAGTTAACTGACAAGTCGACGGTTGTGTTTTCGCCCTCGTTGACAGAAACTGCACTGAAACTCCTAGCAAAAACTTGTGTTAACTGGCATTGACTCGCCGTTAATGAAGTTAGCCGTTTTAATGTTTTACCTTTGATACTGATTCCAAGTCCTCCAACATCTTGCTTGGTAACTCGCACGGTGCGCTTGACGTTGGTGATGGTTTCCGGGACCGGGGACGAGCTAAGGTTCGGGGGGTCTCCGTTGATAGCACCGGCGGGACTCGGGTTGGGCTTCGCGGGCTCCTCGGCACCCTCCCCGGGGTTTATTGTGAGCATATCCTCGTTAAGTGTGCCCAGCACCCGGATCCAGCGGTCCACGGTCAGTCGAAGCTCCAGCAGTCCTGTTTTCTGCGCCTTCATCGCGGCAGCCATGTTCAACGCATTCCTGGAATAACTCTAGACGGGCTGGCAGTCCTGTAAAGAGATAGGGGTGGAGGGGTTGGGGTAGGGGTTAACGCACACACAAGTCCGTCTCTCACTCCCCAGACTTTGCTCCCCTCCAAAGAGGTTTATCCAGTAGTAAGAAGTAGCCTAAAGTTAATTGAGGTTGATACGATTAGCAACGGTGTTGACACACAAACTCACACACTCAAAGTTCAAAGAGCTTCGTGTGCAGCCCCTCCATTAATGAACTGTTTGCGGCTGAGTCACACATAATTACGTTTTGATTCATTCTTTTATTTATTTATTTCAAGCGCATCGAATCACCCCGGCTCAGATCACAGCTCTAATTTGCAATGTGCCCAACAGACACAAAATCACAGCATTGATATACAGGCTTTCTGTCATAAAGAAAATAAAATCAATTGTTCTTCCCAGGGCAGAGATAGGCTACTGATTTGCCTTTCCATCTGATAGAGCTCATATCAGGCTTGAAATCCACAAATCGTCTTCAGTTTTAACTCTGTTGACAGAAAACATACTCACAAAGTCTGTGATGTGAACAGCAAAGAAATCTCATGCCCTGTGAATATCTCCGCTTAAAACAGAATAACTTGTATTAGTTTAAAGGCTAATTTTGCCTTGAAAGAGCAGATGAAAATTGATAGCAGATCATAAGTACCATGACAATTCTAGGCTGTGGCTGCAACTTCTCGAAACCGCTTGCGGAAAATAAACCCTCCAAATCAATGTACAGCAAAATCTTGATAAAAGGTAGACACATCATAAGCATGCTGTTCTTTAAAGGGTGGTGGTTAGCCCAAAGATTCCCTCCAGTAGGCACTAAATGAGTTGGCAGCACAGTATATGAGCACTGACAAAGCTGAATCAATACTGGCCACAGACCAAAACCAAAGGACCGGATGTGCTGGATTGGGAATTCCATAAGAGCGACGAGAAAGACTTTGAGAGAGAACAAATATACCTGTACAGGTACTTTCAGTTTTTCTTATAGTCTTTCAATAATCTATATCTCAAATAATATGGAAAACACTGAAAATGTTGTCTAATGTTTGTCTATATGTTTGAAACTGATTTGTAATAAGCTATGACTTCAGTCAAGCTACCAAGCCGCTTGGTCTTGGTCTTGATTCCAACTCAACAGGGATAAGTATTGTCTTGGTGACTCAGCAGAAGTGCACTTAATTGCGCAGAGTAGACATTAAGAACATGCGTGAGTCACTGAAACAAGCTGATGAAGCAGTCCACATTTCTGTGCTCTATTGCATCTGCAAGTAATCTCACAGCCCTTCAGCCATGTGTGGGGCAGCCTGTGCTGCATCTGCTTCACAACAGGTGAAATAGCAAAGAATTTCCAGCACCCAAGTTTAGAAAACACTCTTCTGGGTTGGTTGGTGAGGGACAACCTCCCTTAAAGAAAATTGCTCTCAAACCACACAGATGGTTTAAAGATCCTCATCTGTTACTAAAACCTCCTACTAACATAAAAGCAGCTAAGCAGATAGACTACCCCCACCAAAACTATTTCATTGATGTGTTATTGGTTAATGTTTGCTGTGGTATATTGAGTTCTAGTTGTATTTCCTGTAACTGATTTTCCTGCATCCGTTGAAAATAATGCACAAACTGAATGTGTTCCTCAACACAGGCTGGTAATTAGTTGGTTCCAAATCTTCTGTCTCCCCCTAGTGATTAAATGGCTCCGTTACTTCAAAACAGATGGACACATTTAAATAGCTTGGTGCCAGACAAGGGCATCTTTTTAAATATGATGCACATATTTGTTTAGGGATATTTAAAAAAAAAATGGGTTTCAATGAAAGGCTTGTAGAACACGTTTTTGACTGGCAAAAGAGACCTTTTTTATTAACACATTTTTTTAATTTAACGTTTGGAGAAGACATCTATGGGGAAATGCTTATAATTGTCTTTACCAGTTAGAGCAGTGGGTTTACCAATGAATATTATTCATATGCCTCATAGACTCTGTGACCCCTAAACATTACAATGTTACTGATGGTTGATTAAGTGCTTAAACAGCTGCTCAATTTAAATAAAAGGTGTAAATGAATGAATAAAAGTATACAGTACTATACAGGTGTAGAATAAATGTAAATTAAGAATACTTTTAAAGATTGACATTTTAATAAATTACATTTACCAGTCAACAACATGCAAAGTGAGTGAACAGAAGAAAAATCCTAAATTAAATCAATAGTTGGTGTGACCACTGTTTGCCTTCAAAACAGCATCAATTCTTCTAGGTATACTTTTGAAGGATCTGAGCAGGTGGGTTGGTCTAAACATATTGCCGAACTACACACAGTTCTTCTGTGAATTTGGGTGGCCTCAGTTGCTTCTCTCTCTTCATGTACTCCCAGACAGACCTGATAATGTTGAGATCAGGGCTCTGTGTGGGCCATACCATCATTTCCAGGACTTAAACTATTAACATTACAGCATTTTTTCCACAGTACTGTACGTACATTCGTAATTACTTTGGATATAAATCTTGTCATGAACTTTGTCTAGTGGTTAAAAACACAAATTCAATGACAACATATGTTTTTTGTTTGGACTCAAATTAAGATATAATGTGTAATATATAATGTACAGTATAATAATTTTGTGCAATAATTAAATGTTTAATGTTTTTTTATTTATACAAAGAATCAAATTACTACACTACAAATGTGAAAGGGGTCGTCCAAAGTGACAAACTCACAGAATTATTACACAATTCTTTAGCTTTGCTGAGCTTTTTATCTTCTTTTAGCTCATCATTTCGGTTATGGCCCACACATGTACTGAATGATTCAGTCTTCGCGCTCTCATTAATCTCTTTCTAAGCACACAAACCCCACTGCATGCTGCCTGCCCAGCACCAAATGACATACAGACAAAATATGCAGCTAGCTAGTGAGCACAGTGGAGCGTTTAACTGATTTTTAGCTGACATTTACCTAGCGATAGAGCCAGATGTTTCACAAATGAACAACAAAGAAAAGCGAAAATAAGGAATACTGGACTTGTGTTTGTTAGGACGCCACAAATATGACTCCAAATAAATGTTAAAATTGCTGCATGTTTGCTGGATGTGTATGTAAGTGATTGTTTTCTAAAATTACAACTTCTTGAGGCAATAATCAGGTCTAAGTCTGTGTGGTTGTTGTGGAGGTTTTGTGCCCTCTAGTGGCCATAGAAATCAATTTAAGATTCAGACAGACAGGTTGTGGTTCCTTTCTCATCTCCTTTAGCAAAGGGTACACTGAGCCTTTCCACAACATGGCAGACCCACAACAATAACAAGTCCTTCACATCTTGTTTAGGAAAAGACTATGGACATAATTTGTTTGAGTATTCGACCGCAGCCTGTGTCTCTTTAAATGTTCAAGATGAGGTGAATAAAGGTAATAGAGTGGGAAAAATATGTTTAGTTACATGAACTTTTGACATGTTACCTTGTCACCTCATAACCTTCCACCACTGTTATACTACTATTTGTTCAGACACTTGGATGTACTATTTAGCACATGTATGGAACAACACATAAACAGCTCAACGACAATGAATCAGGGGCTCCAACGACAGTGCTTGACTTAAGCAGTGCATCTACCTAATAATGTTTAGCATTATGGCAAAGTGTTTGACCGTCTGACCTCCTGTCTATACATCTGTCAGTCTGTTCCTTTGTGATGTGAGTGGCAGGTGGCCAGCCTATGTTTCACAGTACCAGGCTTTAATTTTTCTTTTTTTTTTTCAAACCTTCACTGAATAGAACAACAGGATTTGTAAGGATCTCTCAAACACAAAGGAGTAGATGTCTTCTCATAGAAAACACATTTGTAGTTTGGAGTTGATGTAGTCATGTACAGTACTGAAACGTTGTTTGTCATATGGAGACTGTGACACGTGTTGTTTTCCAGTATGTTGACTTGAGATGAAGCAATAACTTTAAATGCAGATTTTTGGCTTTAAATCCGGTGTTTACATCCATACTGGATGAACAATGTGGGAGTAATAGCCCATACTAATATCCTTGTTCCCCAATATCCTCGCACTGTTGAGCAAATATGAATATATACATTCTCAAATTGCACTAAAGCTTACATAAGGACTTCAACCTCATATCCATTGTTTCATGTCAGATCCAATTGTGCTCTTTGTTACTTGTCCAAGTGTTAATGATGATGATTTGTGCTACTGTATATTTATAAAATGAGGCATTGTTAAAGATTGAACTACCCATCAGTATATAAAATATTTAAAATCATCTCCACCGCAACCAACAATAACATCAATGTGCATCAATAAAAATAATTCAATAATATAAAATAACATAATATTATGAAAGGGACAAGTCTACATAACATTACTGTTACTTTTGATATTGTAAATACATTTTATTCATAATACTTATATACGTTTACTTATGTCAGATTTTGAATCAAGGACTTTTACTCGTAAATCAAGTATTTTGCTGTGGGGTACTGTTGCTTTACACGAGTAGGAGATGGGAATACCTTTTCCACCATGAAAACCTATGATTGTATTAAGTGAAAATTAACATAACTGCAAATGTGAAGGGATGTGCTCAGGTTCATGTAATGGTGTTGACAAGTTCAAAATGTTAAAGAATGTTTGTATTTTTATTAAATAAATTAAATCAAACAGTAACTACACACACACACACACACACACACACACACACACACACACACACACACACACACACACACACACACACACACACACACACACAAAAACAAACTCATTTATTTCAAGGTACAGAAACAGAACAAACACTTGAACACACTACAACCCCCCACTTGCCGTCCCTAAGCCCCCGGTTCAATCAGCTACATATATGCATGTCTCAACTCCCTAAAGACAGTGGACAGTTGGGTTGGCCTGCTGATTAATTTCAACCTCCCCCGCTTCGCTCTGCCTCCTCCTGCTCCTGCCAGCCTCCAACCAACTCTGCATCCCTCCCCTATTCAGCAAAGGGCAACAGCTCCAGAGGTCTACC